AAACTTGCCACCCAAGAAGTCCCGACTAACATCAAACTGAAAGTCAGCCGGGACGTCGCAAAAGTGATAAGCCTGCCGAACAGCATGATTGAAGCCGGCGTCACGTTGGGAGAGAATTTGCTCGGTGGCCTCGACCTCGAACTTCGCAGCCGACTCCTTAAGCCGGGCGATCTCGTTTGCAGCAGCGGCGGTGTCGGTGTACTGACACTTAATAAGTCACTTTTTTTTAATATCACACGTATTTCGATCTACCAAAGGGTAATTTTACTTATATATAATACTGTACATGTGCTTATCGTTGGTTTAAAAGAATATAATTAATTATATCTACAGATATTACATCTACACGAGACATATAGTCGTAGCAAAAGGAAAAAATTCCAAAATAAATAAAAGGTTAACGTATTTATAATTGGAAATAAAATGTGATACAAACCTCTAGAATAATAGCTAAAATATTCTAGAAAAATATATAAGTATATGCTAGTAACTACTAGACACAAATTCTAGAATTATGTAGATAATTACATATACGTAGAAAACTCTAGAAATAGATATCTCTAGAATCTTCTACATAAAACATGAATGTGATTTTTCTAGAATGACTTGGGTCTACTTCATAAAAGCAAAATCAGAAGTCTTTGATATTTTCAAGAAGTTTAAGACCCTTGTCGAAAAGCAAAGTGACAAACAAATAAAAGTACTTAAAAGTGATCGTGGCAAAGAATACACTTCCCATGAGTTTGATAAATTTTGAAAAGATGAAGACATTGAGCGACAACTTACAATTGCATATTCTCCACAACAAAATGGAGTATCTGAAAGGAAAAATAGCACAGTAATGGAGATGGCCAGATCGATGCCCAAGGAGAAAGGATTACCAAACACGTTTTGGGCTGAAGTAGTTTATACTGCTATCTACATACTTAATAGATGTCCAACTAAGGCAGGCCAAGATAAGACTCCGATTGAAGCCTGGAGCGAAAAAAAACCATCAGCAAAACACCTAAGGGTATTTGGATCTATTTGCTACATACATGTTCCAGAAGAGAAAAGGCACAAGCTAGAAGACAAGACAGTATGAGGTATCTTCCTTGGATATAGAACACAGTCAAAAGGCTACCGAGTCTACAACTTGTAAACCAAGAAGCTAAGCCGAGATGTTGAAGTTGATGAAAATACGGCTTGGAATTAGAATGATGAGAAAGTAGAGAAAAACATTCCTATCTGAATTCAGCAACCAGAAGAAGAAACTACAGAAGTCCTAGGTGAGCCTTATTCTCCTCCACAACAAAAAACTCCATCACTAGAGTCTACTCCAAGACGAGTTAGATCCTTGGTGGATATATATATGAAACCTGCAACTTGACCATACTTGAACCTGAAAGCTTTGAAGCAGCATCAAAGCAACTAAGTATGGGTCAAGGCTATGGAAGAAGAGATAAAAATGATTAAGAAAAATAACACATGAGATCTAGTAGACTGTCCAAAAGACAAAGATATCATCGGGGTAAAATGGGTTTATAAGACAAAGCTCAATCCGGACGGCACCATACCAAAGCACAAGGCAAGGTTGGTAGCTAAGGGCTATTTACAACAACCTGGAGTTGACTACAATGAGATATTTGCCCTAGTAGCACGCCTAGATACAATTAGAGCTCTAATAGCTCTTGTGACGCAAAAAAAGGCACTACAGAGAGCAAGATTCGAACAGTTTCGCACTATGGTAGGAGTTAAATAATTTTGTATCAAGGAGGAGTGTTAAAATGTGATATAAACTTCTAGAATAAACTAGAATATTCTAGAAAAATATATAAGTATATGCTAGTAACTACTAGATACAAATTCTAGAATTATGTAGATAATTACATATAGGTAGAAAACTCTAAAAATAGATATCTCTAGAATCTTCTACATAAAACATGAATGTGGTGTTTACCGAGTACACACGCTTTACTGTCTAAATGCAGAAGGACGAAAAGGACTCTCATCAAAATCTGCTGCATTAACTGGGAGGTACACACGCTTTACTGTCTAAATGCAGAAGGACGAAAAGGACTCTCATCAAAATCTGCTGCATTAACTGGGACTGTTTCTCACTAAGGCTCCACACTGGGTTTTTGATCAAAGTGGGGTCGTTGACCAAGTTATTTACGTAAATGGGGCTGTTCTGAATTTATTTACGCCTTTGGGACTGTTTACAATGGTGTCGCTATGGGCCATAGCAACACCAATGCCACGTGGGTTTTGTTTTTTTGGCGGACGGATGGCTGGAATGAGCCACAACAGTGTCGCTATGAGCTGGACCAACACAGTTTGTGAGCCAACAAAGCTGCTGTAGCCCATAGCGACACTATTTAAGAAAAAAAACGAAAAAAACTGAAATAATTTAAATGTAACCTTAAAATAATCAACTGAGTATACTTATTATATATTTATAAAAAAAAAATTATTTAAAAACGTAATTTTAAAAAATAGATTTAATTATTTATTTAAGTGGCGCTGTGGCCTATAGCGACACAGAGTCGCTGTGGCCCACAGCGCCACTAATTAATTTTTTTTTTTTAGTTATTAACTTATTTACCAGGCGTTCAATGGCTAAGTTTTCTTTATCGTCTTCATCTTTTCTATCCTCGACGCTGAGGGGGTTGTATACCGTATGGTGCCGACTAGGCCGAGCAATCCGAACGCTTTGCGTACCCGAACCCGCCGAGTACCCGACACCACCGACCCCACACGAATGTACGGAACTTATCGGTACGGTCGGCCAAGGTCAACGTCATTACCGGCTTAATTACGGATAAATTAATTAGCATAAACTTCGGATCAGTCCCCTAATTTCCCGGGGCCCAACCCATAATCACGGCCCAACACGAACACCTATAAATAGAACTCCTGAGAGGTACGTAACTACTTTTGACCTACCGCATTTATTACGCCGAGTACTTACTTGAGCGTTGGAGTGTCTTTGCAGACACCTCCCCCTCTCGCTTCAAACCGCCCGGATTGAACGAGAAGACCGAGACCCAAGACCAGACCTACTACAACAAGGATAATTGGAGTGTGTATCCTAACACAGGAACAATTTCATTTCCTTTTGTTGTCAAGGCTTGTTTAAAAGCTACTGTTAGCATGCATCCTTAGAATTAATGTCCCCTTTCCTTAATTTCGATGGTAAAACTAGATCTGCAAATAATAAAACCCTGGATTGGTTAATTTGCAGGTGGTGTTAATATTTACAAAATTAATTGATATATAAGGTGAGAATTAATTTTTAATTTTTATTTATATACTTAATTTTTGTCATATATCTAATTGACCTTAGATCTCAGATCTCCATTTAGTATCATATATGATACTATTAATTAGTGTTAAGTTCTAATTAGAATTAATAAAGATTTCACCTTGATAATATATTTTATATTTAATATAATCTATTTGAAAAACATGATCAACAGAATTATAATTAAGTTTTGTCTTAACAGAATTTTTTTTGTCAATTACTTATATCTTTACTTTTTTAATCTAATTTTAATTAATTTACATATTTATAATTAGCATGTTTTATTGTGGAGTAAAAATGAAAAAACTAAAATAGAAAAGCTTAAAATTATTTTATATAAAAGACAGAAAAAATATCGTGAAACATGATTAATGAATATCATGTGTCAGAATTTGTACTTACGTTGCTTAACAATCCATCTTTTTGTGATCAATAAAAATTACGAGTTTCAAACATTTTTATTTTCTTCTTCACCTATTTTTATTCAACTGAACAACCATTCTTTTTCATTTCTCATCTATTTATTTTCTCTCCTCCCTAATTTTTTTAACCATTTTTACTCTAACAAACATACTTTTAAAATGGCTTCATAAATATCAAGTTAATTAGTTCTTATGCCTGTTTATTGCATTAACATGATCCATTTGATGACTTGTAAGGGTAAACAATGTTATATCATATTAATATTTATCTTGTCAATCTAAATAAATACCGTTAGTATTAAATAATAATGACAAAATGCTTAATTTGGTGTGCCATAAATACCTAAAAGGACCAAATGCCATTTTTTTTTTAACTTAGAAGATAAAATTTAAATAAGAAGATGGGAAGCCAAAATAGTATATTAGTCATAATTTTATGTTTTATGTATAAAACATCTTTAAAAAATGGAAGCAACACTCTCTTTTTAAAAATAATAAAAAACTAGTTACCATTAATTAAAATTTATAAAATTAAAAGTGTATTCTACAATGAAGACAATTTAATTAAAATAGAACAATCTGGCGTCAATTAATCTAAGTATTTGCTGATGATATTATTTCATAATTAAAGAAGAGATTATGTTGTAAATTGTTCTCTAAAAGAAAAAAAATTCTTCTCTATATTATCACAGTCTTGAGATGGTTTTATTTTTTATTTTTATTTATCAAAGATATATTAAACAAATAGTAAGACACTAATTCCTTTTTAGGTATAAAAATTGCTTTTGTCAATCTCTTTTAATAAAATATTTTTCTATACACGTAATCAATAATGGAATTCCCAACTACGCATTCATTAAGAACCCAACTATTTATGATCACACCTTGTTGGTGTCTTGAGATGATATTTATCCATGCATCGTAGAACTAACTTCATATATATATATATATATATAGAATCTTTTATAGCTGTTTAATCAAAATCTTCGGTTTTCTCAAATAACGTTAACGATAATAAAACAATTTATTCCCCCGTTCTTGTGTTTTTCACTTATGTTCACACTTCACACCAGGCTTATTTTCAGTAAACTAGAAGTTGCGTTTTATCAAGTAAATAGCAGGGGCAAGGATAACACTTGTGGTTGATTCAATAATATTTAACATTTATTAATTTGCAATAAGTGACAATAAAATTGCCTGTAGAATAAAATGAATGAAATCTACATACACGTCTTCAACCAAATGCAAAAAGCTGAACGAAAACATAACTAGAAATTAAAACTTCGTATAGTCTATCATAGGAACTTAGGAAAATAAATATCCCTTCCTACACCTTTGATGCTGTCTGATCTCGTTCTCCAACCATCTAGAATCTTCTGTAACTCTTGAGGCCTACAAGGAACTTCTAGAGTTCCCTGCTGTTTGAAGCCATACTCTTCTTGAGCTTGGTCCAATAGTCCCAAAAATTCAGGACTAGTCAAGTAATCTAACTCAACCACAAACCTTTTAGTTTCTCCATCTTTGATTGCAAGAACAGCAAAATATCCTTTCCTAACATCATTTGGCACAACATTTGCGGTTTCAAGTTGGTTTTCATTGAAGTAGCTGAGTGAAGGCTTTCTAGTAGGCACAATTTGAGAGAGACCCTTTTGAAATTTCCCAACAAAAGACCTAAGCATCTTGAAATCTTTGACTGAATGCTAATTTCTTTGTGATTTAGGGAACTTGGAAGTTTGAGCTTGGGATGTGTATACTCAAATGTTGGGTATTTATATTGAGATCATGAAGAAAGAAACACGAATTTTCTTGACCGTGTGGGGAACCACGCTTTCTAGTGGGTACATTAATTGCATTCATTATTGATGCCATTATTTGACAGGTCATTGGTCAAAATCTTAAATCTTAAAATCAAAATCGCGATAGATAGGGAGGGAATGGATTGCCGGGGCTTCATGTAAATAACTAAATATATCATTTAAATCTGTTTTGTTTGGACTTGACAGTGAGTGACATTCGTATAAGAGAGATGAAAAGAAAATAAGAAATAAATATATATGATAATAGGCAGTGTTTTAAAACCCGGACCGACCCGGCCGGTCAGATCGGTTGGACCGGGAACCGGTGGTCCAGCCGGTCCGAATCTGAAGTTGGATCGGTTATGCAGTCGACTCGTTTCAAATTGGATTGAACCGGTCAATTTTCTGGTTCAACGGTGAACCGGTGGGTCAAACCGGTTCAACAACTTTTTTTTCTTATTTTTTTTTAAATTTTTTTAAGGGACCATAAATCACAAAAATAATAATGAAAATTGAATCTCTTAATGAAAAAGCAAGGAGTCTTATTAAATATAACAATGACTACTTGTTCTAATATATTTGTTTGCAATATATACAACTTAAATAACTTTTATAGTATATTATTAATTTTAAATTATATATTTAATAATGCAATATTTATGTAAATATTACATATATTATTTTGTGATATTAATTGCAAGTATATTATATATGTACATATTATTTATATTTTTAATTTGTATTAATATACCGTTTAACATGTAATTTTTTTATGTATTTTTTTACAAAATAAAAATAAATTTTTTTTAAATAAGATAGAAAAATTGAAATTTAAAATAAGATATGAATTTATTAAAATTTATAAGTATAAAATATATTTAATATGAATATTTTTTTAATAAAAATAAATAAAAATCGAGTCATGCGGTTCAACTAGTGACCCACCGGTTCAACCTTTGACTCACTGACCCAGTACCTTAACCGGTTTGATAACCGATCCGGTTTTTAAAACTATGATAATAGGTAATCAAATAACAAAACACAGAGAAAATATAAAAATTATTTTAAAATTTATTGCATGAATTTTTTTTTTAAAATCATAAACCCTAAATCCTAAATCCATAAACACAACCGTCACGGAAGAATCGGATGCAGCTAATGAAGTACATAACGGTGGGGTGGGTGGTTGCGAGAGAGAAGCGAAGAGGGGGAGCTACAATAATGGTTTGGGCAAGAGTGGGAAGAAGAGGTTGTGTGGGAACGATGAAGTAAATCGGTTATTATTTAATCAATTTAATATACTTTATACAAAACCATCTTTAATAACCCATTTTAAAGGTTGCCACTTTATTTTTAAAAATATTTCTCTTTTAAATTCAGTTTTTTCATAATTGATTTTAAAAGTTTAATTTTGTATTTTTTTTATATTAATGTAAAATAATGTTTGATTAATAATAACCATATTTTACTATTGGAAATTAATCCTTAATTGAAAGTTTTGAGATATTGTATAATCATATTCATGGACCAAAAATATTAAAATTATTCTTTGTCTTTTTCTTCATAAAATTAATTTTAAATGTTTTGTACAATTAATAGTTATTTTTGACAAAAAATACTCTTAATCAAAGTTATTTTTCTTAATTCAATAAGTAGTTGGTAGAGTAAGAATTTCGCTAATGTTAAGACAATTTTCTTTTTAATATGATTAAGCATAGGAATATGAGCTATCCATTGAATGATGAAGAAAATCGTTGATTATAAGATTTTTGATGTACATAAGTGTTGTTTTTCATATTATGTTTTAATTAGCCATCATTGGTTTTTTGTGGTATATTCACCTAAATAAGAGGTGTGATCCATATTATTGCTTGATTATCCTTAAGAGCCATGTGATCTATGAAACACTGATTCCAACAGGACACCAAACACAACATGGTTAATGTCCAAAATATAAGATAGAGAGACACATAATTCATACTATTGCTAGTGTCTATGGAGTCATGGCGAAAAGGTATACAAGTTTTGTTTTAAGAGGTGTCTAAAAAAAATAATTTAATTATGACACGGGTGGGGGAGGGGGTACTTGGACACGTATCTGATAAGTGTCATGTTCGAAACATATTAGGCACACTGACACAATGTTTTGTAGATGTATCTATGCTTCATAGGTTATGAATTATGATATCAGTAGCGATTAGAACTATACTTATTTTAATTTTATCGAAAACATGCCTATTATAAGTGTGTTATCAAAATCTTGAGATGAGATATTTTGAGGGAAAATACTAACACCAACATAGTGTGGTCATACACTATAAAGCTCAAAGTAAAGAAGATGAGTACCATAAAAATGCATTATGGATTGGTGGATTAAAGATACAATAGAGATAGAGTTTGAGAGATATTTCTAGAACTTTTTAGAAAGGTGATTAATTATTATGAGTGATTCTAACAACTTAACTAACTACCAAGTTTTCAACTAACAAGTTCTTTATCACCTCTTTCGCAAAGTGATAAGTGATATCACCACAATCACCTTGAATTACAATCTACAACAAAAATACAAAGAGAAGTAGATTTTTAACAAATAATGATATGACTAAAAAAATGACCACCCTAAAATAATTTAGCTCATATCAGCCAAAAAATGATATTAGCAACACCAACCCTAAAAAGTGTTGCATAAGCATTTTCAAATCATACACTAAGGTCAGTGTTGGAAAAATCGAGAAATTGCAACTTTAAAGAAACTAGAGAGAATATTGGATCAATTATTCAACATCGATTCCTCATCATAACAAGTTCGATCGATGGATGTGGTGGAGCATCACTAAGAACTGTTGCATTGTAGTGGTAGAGGACAACACATATGAAAAAGGAAATTAGGGTGCTATACTAGCTATTAATTTGAGTTTCGATTCTAGTTTGAGAGAGGATGAATCTGAACAATGTGATACAAAATCAAAGTATTCAAACTTGAAACTAGAGAGTGAGGAAGTGCGAAAGCAAAAGAAAAATATGACAATGATAGAGGATTGAAATCAATGATTAGAGTGACTTGAACTAACTTTTGTTGGAATTCAATTGTGGAGTCAACAAAGGCCTCAATGTCGTTGGAATATTGTATCGTGATCCATTCACCACTTGTATTGAAGACAATCATGTTCACAATTAGGATTGAAGTTGAATCATTATGGTTAATGTTCTAAAACTTGTGATTGTAATGACCCGATAGATCATTACACATGATATGATACAATTATTACGTAACGAAAAACATAAATATAAACTAGTATAGAATTATCATACAAAAAGTACATGAATATTCATGTAACATATAAATGTGTATGATGCATAAAACATAAAACAGTCTTTTCCAATATCAATTAGAAAACACAAATCCCCTTATGAGGTCATAGAAAATCCATGTACATATACATTTATACAACCATAATATCCATACTAAAAACATAAACTCTAAGCATCGGTCAAACATCTCTATACATAGCTATATTAGAACAACCCAACAAAATATCATCTCCAAGCATAATCATCCAGCTCCAAACTCGATCTCCAACCTAATCATGACATGCTCTCATACTAAGTATGACCATTGTAGTTCAACATATGAAAAATTAAGGGTAAGCTTGTGAAATAAAACAACATAACATGTAAAAAGCAAAATAAAAATAAAAATAAAATCAACTATCAATTGAAAAAATCGATCAACCTAACAATTTGACAATTGAGCATCTTAAATAATTGAACTACTAAAAAACAACATAGACAATTGATACAACCAAGTAACTTTATTCAATAGAGCAATAATCAATTGAGCAACTAAACAACTTAAAATAATTGAACAACTGATGTGTTGTGTTAAACCTTCAAAATGTTGTATAATAACATGTTATTCATGATTGTTTTGTCATGTTTTAATATTAAGTCTTTGGAAATTTTCATTTTTCTCATTAAGTATGCGGTAAACAGGGAAAAATATTTAAAGAGATGAAATCTATGCACTTAAGGAATAAAATGAAGCAAGTATGAACTTTGGAGTCATGTACGACTGTGCATGTTTTATGCACGACCATGCTTCAAATACAAGCACATCCCTGCCACTAATAAAGCACAATCATGCTATATGAAGTCGTGCTTGCCTATAAGCTCGCACATGCTTCCTGTTTTAATAAAGTACGCCTAGGTTATTGAGAACAGTCATACTTGATGAGATGCACGATTATACTTAAAAGTTTTCCCTAATTTTTTCTAATATAAATAGGGATGTCTAGACTACATTGTAATCATTCGATCCTTTAGTCATAGTTTTATATTTTCTCTCTTTCTCCTATTCTACCATTCTAAGGTTATGATGTAATTTGTGAACCCCTAATGATGAATTGAACGAATTCCATTTAGTTAATTGTAGTATTATTTTAATATTTCCAATTCTTATACTAGTTAATTGAAAGTGAATGATCAAACTTTTTTGATTAAAAAAACTAAAATAATTAAATTATAGAAATTTGCATGATCAAGCTATTTTCTTAATCCCTAAATTGAATTAACTTATTAATTCGCTTCTACATTTTTATGCTTTGTTTTAAAATAAACTACTTATGGTCAATTTGAAATTTTCTTAAAATAAAGATTATTGACTTCCTAGAACCAAAGGATTATCAAAAATTTCATAAATAAATTGGCGACAATGTTTTATAATTCTCTAAATTCATCTTGAGGGAATTAGGGACAATAAGTCACAACCCTAGAGTTTTTTAATCTTCTCAATCTTTCTATTTTCTATTTTGATTGTTATTTTCTACTTTAATTGTGATTTTCTATAAGCCAATTTTGGTGTAGTGTAAGTCAAATTTTTATCC